TATAACCGTCCATCACAGCAACCCAGCCACAGGACTCATCCCACAAGGTTCACTTATGCCAATGATGTCATAGCTCCGTAACTGGGCCAATGCTTCTCGCTCCTCTTGTTTATTCCTCATGCTGCGCACATTAGTACAGAGACGTTTCAAATGTGCTCCAGTGTACTCAGCGCATCGTGGAGCAGGATGAAGGACCTCACTAGCACACTCCCTCAAACATTGGTGTGCCACCCCCAGGCTTATCTCTAGCAAGCCTGGTTTTATCCTTTTCCCCCTTCAAATCTAGTTTAAAGCTCTTTCAATGAGACCTGCTAACTCCTGTGCAGAGATACTTTTCCCCCTTTGAGAAAGGTGTACCCCCTCTGTTGCCTGCAGACCTGGTGTCGTGTTGACTGACCCATGACCAAAAACCCCAAAATTCTGGCAGTGACACCAGTCACAGAGCCAGGCATTGATTGTCTGGGTCGTCTTCTTTCTTCCCTCATCATTCCCTGCAACTGGAAGAATAGAGGAGAAACTACTTGTGCTCCTGATCCCTTAACCAGTCATTCCAAGGCCCTGAAGTGTCTTTTGATTGCCCTTGGACTTCTTATCGCAACTTCATCGCTGCCTACATGAAAGAGCAATAATGGATAATAATCCAAGGGCTGTACCAGGGTAGGAAGTTTTCTCGTCGCATCTTTAACCTGGGCCCCAGGGAGGCAGCAGCCTTCCCTAAGAAGTGGGTCAGGTCAGCATAGATACTATGTTTATACATCATCCGTTTTTTATGCATTATGTTTATACAACATGCATTTCATATGTATTATGAAAGCAATTTTAATAATATGTAGCCAAGAAATCGAAACTTTGTTCCTATTACAAAGAAGAAGAAAATGATGAGGTGGGAGCAACAAGTTAAGTGCAAAGATACAAGACAAGCTTCCTCCTGTGAATGCCTTTGTGTAATTTCACATGCAAGGGAGGTACACGGTCAGTTCTGTCTTTTGCTGTCTGGAGAGCAACTGCTCTTGATCCTGAACACCAAGGCTGACCCCAGCTCCCCACAGCAGAACTGAGCAGAGACATTTCCCTGTTCCCCTGAGCGCTGAGCAGGCAAACTGCCCAGCCTGCGTGCGGCAGTGGCGTTTAGTGTAGCAAAGGGTTAAGGGGCAGCTGAGGTATGAGAGCGATCCTGTGTTCAGCAGCATCAGGCCGCTCCGTCCTGTGTTATCCTGAGCAGCGTTAGCAGCATAAGCCTTCCTCTGCCAATCCCTGCCATGGCTGCACCTGAGAGCGTGGAGGTCTGGAGAAAAGGGAAATGGCTTTGTAGCTGATTTTCCCATTGGAGTCCTAAATGCACCGTATACCACGCTGATCCTCATTTTACCTGTTGTCTGTGGGCTTGAGTACTTGGGTCCAGGGTGAACTTGCTTCACTTGGGTGAACTAAGCCATTATGGGGCCTCGTGCGCCATGAGATCTCCAGGTCCTCACCCAGGTCTTGTCCATGCTGGGAGGTGCTTACAGAGCCTAAGGCAAGAGAACAAAAGTTACTAATGGGCCTCCGTGAAAGAGGTTGGATTTTATTTCTTTTTTTTTCTCTTACTATTCAAATTTCTCCACTTTGTCCTGTACCATCTGAGTCCTGTATTACAAAAAAAAAAAAAAAAAAAAAAAATGCTCTTTCAAATCTCCAGGGGCTTGAAGGCTGCTTCTCAGCCATGGAGTGAGGCAGCTCTTCCACACATCCTAACTTCAGCATCAGCTGAATGTGTCTCCACATAGTGTCTTAATATTCAATGAAATCCCCCCTCGGTATTTCCCATGAACCTTGCATTGTCCTAGGAATCATCCTTTCTCCTCTTGTACTCAGAGTAACTGCCTTTCAGGAGGTCATCAGTAATACACTCTTTAATACCACTGCTACCATCTTACTATGGAGTTCCTGCTGCATCTCCTCATCTTTCCTAATCAGCATGGCGGGCTGACAAAATGATTTGAGAGAATATTGCAGATGCCATTGAAGATGCAGAGGCGACTAAAGAGGCAGATACCATTGCAGATAACACTACAGATGTAATTGCAGATGCCAGTGCCAAAGCAGATGTCAGTGCCAAAGCAGATGTCACTGCAGATGTAGATCCTTTGCAGGTGCAGATTTCATTCCAGATACCATTGCAGATGCCATTGCAGGTGTGATTGCAGATGTAGATACCAATGCGGATGCAGATACAATCACAGTTGCCATTGCAGAAGCTGATATCATTGCAGATACAATAGCAGATGCACACAGCATTGCAGATGACTGTGCAGATGTAGATACCATTGCAGATGCAGGTACGAAAACGAAGGCAGACACAGTTGCACATAATGCTGCAGATGCAGATAACACTGCAGATGCAGATACTGTTGCAGACAGATGCAGATACCACCATGGCAGATGTAGATACCAATGCGGATGCAGATACAATCACAGTTGCCATTGCAGAAGCTGATATCATTGCAGATACCATTGCAGATGCCACTGAAGATACCATCACAGATGCAGATACCAGTGCAGATGCCATTGCAAATGCAGATACAATTTCAGATGCAAAAGCAGACGGAGATGCCATTGGAGATGCAGACACCAGTGCAGATACCATCGGAGATAGAATTGCAGATGCAAATGCCATTGCAGATACCAGTGCAGATAGCATTACTGGATGCCACTTCGGATACCACAGCAGATGCAGATATCACTGAAGATGTAGATACCAATGCAGATAAAATCACAGATGCAGACACCATTTCAGATGCAGAGGCCATTGCAGATACTGATACCATTGCAAATGCCATTGCAGATGCAGGTATCATTGCAGATGCCATTGCAGATAGTGACATCGTTGTAGCTATAGATACAGTTACCCATAACGATCCAGATACCAATACCATTATAGATTCCATTGCCAACACTATTACAGATTGTGATACCATTACAGATAGTCACACCAATATTGATACCATTAGAGATACCCCTGCTGATACTACTGCAGGTAGAGATAAAATGGCACATACACATCTAGAAACCAAATACAAGTACACGTGCAGATACAGATACCACTTCTGATACAGACACAGATACCATTAGAGGCAGAGATAGTGGTACCATCACAAATGCAGAGACTGACACCATCACAGATACCATCAGAGAAACTGATATAATTTCAGACACATATATACACTTAATTGCGATACAATTGCAAATACAGGCACAAAATATGTACAATTGCAGACACAATTAAAGATAGAGAAACAATTAAACATACTATTATAGATACAAGTAGTCACAGAAGCCATCACCCATACAATTGCAGATACAATTACAGACATTATATAATTACACATACAATTACAGGTACAAGTACACAAGCACATATATTCCAGATGCAGATATCATTGCATATACCACTGCACATTCAGATACTATTGCAGACCCCTTAACTCCTTCAAACTTTCAGTCCTCTTTTCCTCCTCCCTCCCTCCCCCCCTCCCTCTCCACTTCCTTCCTTCCTTCCTTCCTTCCTTCCTTCCTTCCTTCCTTCCTTCCCCTCCCTCTGTTGTCCAAACAGTAATGACAACATGTTATAACCAAAGCTTTACTGAGGCAGTAAGAAAGAGGAGCAACAACGCGCCCATACAGCCACTCACCCAGTCACCGATAGCAAACACAGGATCGTAAGCGATGCTGTGCCTCCAGTGGACTGCCAGGTACATAGAATCATAGAATCACAGAATGGTTTGGGTTGGAAGGGACCTTCAAAGATCATTTAGTTGAACCCCACTGCCATGGGCAGGGACATCTTTCACTAGATCAGGTTGCTCAAAGTCCCGTTCAACCTGATCTTGAACACTTCCAGTGATGGGAAGTATGCATTTCCACTGCAGCCCAGGCTGCCACCGATCTTGACCTCTCTAATTAGTTCATCTGTGTTGGTAACACAGATCCAGTAATGCTTCTTCTCTGGTTGGGCTCTCTTATCAACTGGATTAAGAAATTATCCTTGGTGTACTCCCAAGCATCTCCTGGACTGCTTACAGCTTGCTGTGATGCTTTTCCAGCAGATGTCAGGCGGACTGAAGTCCCACCTTTTTAGAGGAACGTGTCTTAATTCCTTTGAGACTTTCCACAGGTGTTTCCTATTGGTTTCTAATACATCAGCAGCCCTTAGCTCTTCTCTTACTACTCAAAACTCCCCACACTAAGTCTAGTTTAAAGTTCCCCTTATAAGTCTGGCCAGCTTGTTGGCAAAGACACTCTTGCCCCACTTGGTCAGGTGAATCCCGTCAGCTCCCAACAGACCCAGCTACTCAAAGGTAGATCCATGATCATAGAAACCAAAACCTAGAGTATGGCACCAGCCACGCAGCCAAGCATTCACCTGTTCAATTCGTCTCCTCCTTCCTGATCCCTTACTCTGGGAAGACGGAGAATACCATCTACGCTCCTGATCCTTTTAACATTGCTTATGTCCCTTTAACAGACATAAAATCTCTTTTGATGGTTCTAAGTTGCCTTGTTGCAGTGTCATTAAACCCTACCTGGAATAGTAGGGTTCACCAGGCTTTGCAGCCTCTCAGTGACATTGCAAATGCGAGCTCCTGGTAGGCGGCAAACTTCTCTAGAAAAACTGTCTGGACAGCAAATGGGTGCTTAGATGCCTCTCGGCAAGGAATCTGCAATTACTAACACTTTACGTGCTTTTCTGGTGGCACTGGTTCTAATGCAGACGGGTGGTTGGATCAACTTTGTATGGTAAGCTTTTTCTGGATCCTGTCCGTTACTCATGTGCTCTTCAGTCTCCAACCCCAGAGCATCCTATCTGTTATGTAGGGGCACTTCAGGGGAAGGGGGAAGCATCTTTCTGCCCTAAGCAGAAACAAGAGTCCAGTCTCCTTCATCTCATCGGTTACTTGTGTCAGTCAGCTTGAGGTTGAACTCAGGTTACCTTCCCCTTGCACAGCCTTAAGGCAGGGCTGTCATTCAGCCTGGGTCAGTGCACAATACCACATATCGATCTCCTTCTCACATTCCCGGATATTGTGCTGCCTGTTGAGCTCCTCTTGTAACATAGGTACTTGTTTGAAGAGTTCTTCTAGCCGGGCACACTTGCAGGTATGACCACTGCTTTCAGGTAGCAAGGGTAGAGAGGCCTTACAGAGAGATCTTGACAGATTAGAGCACTGAACAATCATCAACCATATGAAATTTAACAAGGACAAATGCTGGATTCTGCACCTGGGATGGTATAATCCTGGATGTACATGTAGACTGGAAGACAAGAGGCTGGAGTGCAGCCCTGCAGAAAGGGATCTGGGAGTTTTGGTTGATGGTAAGCTCTATATGAGTCAACAATGTGCCCTGGCAGCCAAAAGGGACAACCGTGTCCTGGGGTGCATCAAGCACAGTACAGCTAAACCGGTCGAAAGAAGTGATTGTCCCACTCTACTCAGCATTGGTGCGACCTCACCTTGAGTACTGTGTGCAGTTTTGGGGCTCCACAATATAAGAAGGATATAAAAATATTGGAATGTGTCCAAAGGAGGGCAACAAAGATGGTGAACAGACTAGAGGGCATGACTTATGAGGAGTAACTGAGGATAGCAGGTTTGTTCAGCATAGAGCAGAGGAGACTGAGAGGTGATCTCATTGCTGTCTACAACTTCCTCATCAGGGGGAGCAGAGGGGGAGGTGCTGATGTCTACTCTCTAGTGTCCAATGATAGAACACGAGGGAATGGCTTAAGGCTGCATCGGAGAAGTTCACATTGGCTATCAGGAAAAAGTTCTTCACTGAGAAGGTTGTCAAGCACTGGAACAAGCTCTCCAGGGAAGTGGTCATGGCCCCTAGCCTGTCAGTGTTCAAGAAGTGTTTGGACAACAATATATGGTTTAACTTTTAGGTTGTCCTGTGTGGAGTCAGGAGTTGGTCTTGATGATCTTCATGGCTCCCTTCCAGCTCAGAATATTCTATGATTCTATGACAAGCCTCCACAACAGCCAGGTGCCTGCTCTTGCCCTATCAGCTACTCAGCCACATATGGCATCACAAGAACCTGAACAAGCCAGGTTCCGGCTCCTGCCCTATCAGCTTCTCAGCCACCAGGGACATCATGAGCACCTGCACAAGCCAGGTTTTTCCTCCTGGACTATCAGCTATCAGCAGCCAGTTCAAACTGTGGAAAGCTGACCCTAGCAGCAGCAGCAGCAGTTGACACGTGCTGAGAGGAGTGCAAGGCTTGTGAGGCCCCCAGGAGGCGTCTGAGGGGGTTTCTGGGCCCCTGAAACCCTTGGGCTGTGTGAGTGGGGAGGGACCAGGTGGCAGCAAGGATGACCAGCTGCTGGAGGACACCAAGACACTGGGGGACTGCAGCTTCACCAACCAGACCACCCACCCCCAGGTCCTCATCACCAGTCATAATTCCTCCCCTCCCCCCAGGGAACTCAAGCAGTGGTGACCACTTGACAGAAAGCTATGTCCTCTGCATCCTCTGTGGTATTATCACCCACTGGGTCCAGTGCAGCTACCCAGACAGAGCTTCCAAGGGAGCATGCAGCCATCCAGGTCTCCAGCTGCAGGGTGTGCCCAAGGTTTTTACTGGTGTAGAAACTGGCCAGTAGCAAGAATGTCTGTGGGAGATGTGCACCCACGTAGAACTGCTCAGCTTGGTGGCTGAGCTTCGGGAGGAAGTGGACAGGTTGAGGAGCATCCAGCAGTCCAAGGAGGTTGACTGGTGGAACCATACTCTGCCCTCACTGGAACAGAAATGTCAGCTAGGCATAACACATGACAAGGGGGATCCTGCGCTCCACCAGACAGAAAGAAGTGACTTGAGGGATAGTGGTGAATGGAAACAATTCTCTGCTCAGGGCAGTGGGAGAAGCTTCTCCTTGTCTACCTTGCCTTCCCAGGTGCCCTTATGCAACAGATACAAGGCTCTGGAATTGGAAGGACGGGGACATGATGAGGTGGATGACGATCCATCTATGCTAGAGGAGTCACCAAGGTCAGGTCAGCCTATCCCCTGCATCGTGACAACCTTCATGAAGACAAAATGGCCAGTTTTGCCATCTGATCCTACCCTATCATCTATTCAGCTACCAGAGACATCACAAGCACCTGCACAAGCCAGGTGCCTGCTCCTGCCCTATCATCTACTCAGGAACCTGTGACACCACAAGAACCTGAACAAGCAATGGAAAACAGGTGCAAAATGGATGAAAAGCCTTACCCTTTTTCTACAACTGGGGATCTGGCACATATTTTGGGGGCTTCTCTGGGTGTTGCTGCAAAGAAATGTCTCTTAGTGGTGGACATCACAGGAAGGTTTAACTCACTCTACCGCTACATCGACCTTGTAGAGCACCAGCTTGTCAGGGCCTTTGCACTTCCTTTATTGTGCTGTGGTCCAACCAGTGGTAATAACAACAAGATCTGATAAGCCACACGATCAGCACTGAAATAAAGACTGACCAGAACAAGCATGTCTGCTTTCGCTTTGGAAGGTGATTGTGAAGGTGCATCTTTGGCTCAAGAAACCTCTGGTATTTTAAGAAACCACACCAAAATGGTAGTAGAGAAAAGCTATGGATACCTGTGCTTGTACATGAAGCCCAGGCTGGCAGTGGTCTTCCTGGTTGTCAAGGTGTTCCTGTGATGCTGGGTGATGGGTGTTGGAGGTATATCCTGTACATTGTTTGGAAAGGCCATCCCGTTTTTGAAAAGGGGTTGGAAATTGTTTAAAAAAAGGTGTTTGGCCATGTTTCCAAGGATAAATTGGAAACACCATCAAATCAGGAGGGCTCAGCACTTGCTTATATTCAAAGAAAAACCCTTAAAAGAAAGAGAGCCATGTCACGCCCCCAAGAAGAAGAAAAAGAACAGCAAGCCAGGCAGAACGCGGCAAAATAAAGAGAAAACCCAGAGAAAGAGGTCGTGTTCTACCACTAGAAAAGGAAATATATTTGAAAAAGGATGGCTGTCATTTCTGGCTGCTCAGAAGAATGTACCAAATCCCAGATGGATTTGTGTGAAGTGTCCCTAGCGCAGAGCAGCACTGAGAAAAGCCTGTTTATTGAGGTGCCTTCACTTTCCACTATTGCAGATTCTGCACCGCTGCACTTTTTTATAGCTAGGAATGAGGAATATTATGTAGATCTAAACAACACCCTGCTGCATCATTGCTGCACCATTGAAAAAGGTGATGGGTCCAACCTCGGAGTCGGTGAGGCCATGGTTCTCGTGAATTACCCACTGCCCTCTATTTTCAGCCAGCTGGACATTATACTGGGGGACCAGCTGAGAAGCCAGAGCAACAACTGCAACCCCTACCACACCTTCACTGAGTTTCTTCTCAATTACAGCTGTGACACACTGTCCATGCACTTCTCCACGGGGCTAATTCAGCTATTGCTGAACAGTGCTTACACAGCACCAAGACCTTTTCTGCTCCGCACGCTGCTCTGCCGAAGAATGGGCTGGGTGTGCACGAGAAACTGTGGGGGGGACACAGCTGGGACAGCTGACCCCAACTGACCAAAGGGATATCCCACACCATATGATGTTGTGCTCAGTAATAAAAGCTGAAGGAAGGAGGAAGGGGAAACATTCAGAGTTACAGTGTTTGTCTGCCCAAGTAACCATTATGTGTGAAAGAGCCCTGCTTTCTTGGAGTTGGCTGAACATCTGCCTGCTGATGGGAAGTAGTAAATTCATTCCTTATTTTGCTTTGCTTACATGCACAGCTTTTGCCTTAACTATGCTGTGAAAAATGCAGCAAAAGCCTGACTCAGGGAGCATTTTAATAGGATGCTCGGCACCCAGGTGTGGAGATACTTTACAGCACCCTCAATTGGTGCTGGCCCATCAATTAGGGCCCATCAAGGGCCCATTAGTTAGTGCAACTGAGGACCTCTGTTTCTCCTGTCTCCATTACATTTGCCTGCCAGGCTTGTGTCTCTGGAGATGCCCTTGATGACTTCTCCCTTTCCCTCGGTATCCCATTTGAGGAGGTCCTCGGCCAGGTGATCCTGCTGCAATAAACGTTCCCTCACCCCATGGACCCTCACCAGTCTGTGCAACTGGCCAGGTCGGGCTCCTGTCAGGTTGGCGTTGCTGTCTGTTGCTGGCCATGGCCATGGGCTCCCCCAGCCCCTCTGGGCCCTGCCACTGGTCAGAGGAGCCCCGTGCCTGGCTCCTGCCTGCCGACACCGTGGGCATCCGTGGCTGTGCCTAGGCATGGAGGTCAGCCAGAGCTAGTGCCTCACAGGGTTTGCTGTTGGTAGCACCCGGACGTTTGTGTGATGGCTGTGTCACATTCTGTCACACACTCTTGTGTCATACTCTATCTTTATTTGGAGGGAAATTGCTGATCCCCAAAGCTGTCAGTGGGGCTTCTGTCACCGCAACCCCAGCCCGAACTTCTTGCAGGAGAGCTGGGGCAGCAGGTGCAGGGGACAGGGGAGCCATTTCAGTTGGGGCTGGAGGGTGCTGGGCCAGGCCTGCAGCTACCAGGCAGCCGAGGCTGGGCCAGGGGGGTGTGGGGGCCTGGGAGAGGCAGGGCGCGCTGGTTCTCCAGGCATGAGCAGCGGCTGGTGACTCCCGCTCTCAGGGGTGGCAGGGGGGCCGGCCCGGCGGTGGGCAGCCGCTGCTGTTGGTTGGGGCTACTGAAGCTGCAGAGAGGCACCTGTGGAGAGAGGAGGCTGCTGAAGCCCTTGACTGCATATGGGACACAGGGACTCTCTGGACCAGAAATGCTTTGTGGCTCCGAGCAGCCATCTAAGAAAGCAGTGGGGTGGGAAAGCAGCGACTCACTCTTGTCTCCTCCTCCACCGGATCACTACACACCGCAGTGCTGTCCCAAGCAGCAGGGAAACCAGGACTGCCACTGTGCCTATCATACAGCGCCTTTGTAGATCTTGGGTATGTGAAACACTTGGGCTTCTCTCACTGACCCCACCTGGAGGAGCAATTTGGGGTGTTACTCAGTCCTGTGCACCACGGGTAACTTCACAGCACATCTGATATGGCCAGGAAATCTTTTCCCCTTTGTTAGCAGCTCTGCAATGCTTCCTGGCTTGCAGCAGAAGCAAAGGGAACTCCCCAAGCCAGTGCACATCAATGTGCTTGGGAGCCTCTCCTTTGCCTCTCAGCTTTCTTTACATGCTGCGATGTCCATAATCCAGTTCTCCCAGGGTCACAGTTTTGCTCCCCCTTCTTGGTGATTCTTCACATGCCAAGATTTCTTTTGCACCCACCCACCTGCGCTTTCCCATGACCCCCAGTGCTGTTGACCCTTTGGGACAAGTTGTCCCACTGAACAAAACTCAGAAGGAGAGCACGGGGGGAGCGCAGCTGCTTGACCAGTCACTCCTTTGAGGGACACGGACAAAAACAATCCCTGCAGCAGGGAGTGCCACCCCCAACTCTCCCTCCCCCTGAGCCAGCTCCCTCCCCCCCGAGGGGATGGAGTCAGGCCCTCTCAGGAGACACCTGAACCTTGCTCTCCCCTTCTGCCTTTTTTCCAGCACGGGCACCGCTTGCAGCCGCTCCCAGGTTTCAGGACATGTCTCCCAAATAGGAACCACAGCAAGACTGCTCAGTACCTTGATTTTTTGGAAAAAATTCATATACGCTGCCCTGGTGGTCTTCTCTGGGCCTTGACAGCACTGCCAAAAAGCAGAGACACCAGGTAAAGCCTCAGCACGACTCAGGCACAGAGGATGCAGGAGGACGGGGAGGTTCCCTCTAAGGCTCTGCCCGACCTGGGAGTCAGGGCATCGCTCTGGACCTCAGCTGACGGGAGGGATCCCGCTCTGTGCTGCTCTTGTGCCTTGGGCCTCTAGGGACTCACGGCAAGCTCCGGGATGCAGCTCCCAGAATGTGGCGGGAGCCACATTCGTGCAAGAGTCACATTTGCCCTCATCTGCGGAACGTGGTCCAGATGCCGCGACCCAAAGCACTTTCAGCTTTGGCTGCTGACGTGACGTGCAAGAGCAGGCACTGGGGGAAGAGCCTGCTGACACGCAGCGATCCTGATGGGTGACACCGGCTGACCACGGGACAGCAATTACCTGGCGTGCTGGTGGCTGGCAGAGCCTGGCAGGGAGCCACGGCTCCCTTCCCAAAACGCCTCCTTCTGCACCGCCTCTCGGTCCGTCTCTTGAGAAAGAAAGCGGGACAGTTGGATCAGAGGGAACCCTTCCCCGTCAGGGGGATGGCACCTTCAGGCGGCAATACTTCTCCAAGACATTGATAAGGTTTAGAAACAAGGCCTGGGCTTTTGGGGCTGCGCCTAGCCACTAGCCCAAACAGCCGCCACGCCTGACCTGCTGGGAGACCAGGAAATTGCACGCGACCTTCTGGTTTGCATTGCCCGTAGTGCGTTTTTGGCAAACTGCAAGGTGATGCATTTATGGTGAAGGCATTTATGCCTTCCTTCAAAGAGGGCGGGAAGAAGCTGCAGCCAGGCCAGCCGGGGAAACAGCCCTTCTGAGAAGGGCTCCTCCGCAAGGCCCTCGTGCCCTTCCCTGTAAGCGCCAGCAACGGTCACACTCGTCCCACCCCGGCTATCGGTCTGCAGACGGGAAGTCGAGCACAACCCAAAAAGCCTGCCGAATCAGCATCTCCGCCCGACTTCCAGCACTAGGAAAGGGCAGCCCGCGCTGCTTGGGACCTCGCTCCCGCCTGGAACTGGCCCAGGGGCCAGCAGCGCTGTGCGTGAGCTGAACACAAGTCCGGCACACGCCAGGCCCTCAAATCTGCCTAGCGACGTCCGCACAAGCCACCTCTGAGCCGTACTGGTAACACGGGGGCAGCAGCTGCCCCCGGCACTCGGCTTGAACCACAACTGGCAGCAGAGGCTCTGCACCATCTCTGTGGCTCCCCCCCGCCTGCAAGGCGTGAAACCCAGCGTCGCTGCTGCGAGGCTCTGATCGATCCCTTCCCGCTGTGCAGGCTGCAGCGTGTCCAGACGTGCATCTAGAACCTCCGGTTGCCGAGTCTGACGGCTAAGGCAGAGTGAAATAGACCCACCGTGTCCTTTCTCCAGTTGCTCCAGAATTTGCTTTAGGATTTCAGATGCCTCCGGGGACTTTTTTCCTCTTTTACTGTGGTCCTTTGCTCTTGGGGGACCTTAACAGAAAGTATTCAGTTCAATTTCACATGAATAAAATACGGAACACCAGCAGACAGCCTGTGAGGTCAGTAAAGACTGACTATTCACCCCTGGGATGCCAGCCAGGCTCTAGTGCAGGATCCAGCCAAGGAGCTGGAAGAGTCCTCCCTACGGGCACATCTGTAACGAAACACCCTGGAGAAGCCTCCATCATATATTGTGATCTACATCAGCAGAACTGAATCGCAGAAGCGGTAAGGGGATCACGCAAGGAGAGGGCACACACATGCAGGTCTCTGTCCTCACACCTGCAGAGGCACCCAGCTGGCTGACCGACCTTTGGGCTTTGAGCCGGCAGCTCTCAAGGGAGGAAAAAGTCATGACGTACCCATGTCATCTCCCGGAGGCTCAGGCCTGGAACCCAGCTGGGAAGCTGGATCACCTTCGCCGACAGGCACGGCTGCAAAGAAGCGCAGGACAGAACAGCTCCCGTGACACAGTTCAAGATACTTCTTCAGGTCGGAGTGGCAGTGAGTGCAATTCAAAGACGGGGTTACTCCGCGGCCCTCGTCTCTCCCTTCCACTCAGGAGCACGGTGCAAAGATTACCGCGTGCCTGCAGGGTCTTTGCGTGCCGGCAAAGACAGCTTCGCAAGGCAAAGCGCCCCGGGGCACGTCACTGAGCCCGACCCGTTCCCTCTCTGCTCTTCTCCATGCCTGCCATGTTGGCCACGGAAGGAGCAACTTGCGTTTCACACGGAAAGGAGACTGAAAGGTAAATGCTGCTTCCTCCCACTGCCTTACCCGCGGGATTGCTCTCAGGCTCGGGGACAGGAATGGGCCAAGCAGTCGGGAAGCCGTCGGCCATGAGAGGACCTTAAGGAAAATTGCACATGAATAAGCTCTTGCCACATCGTCAACGTTTAGTCTTTCAAGGAAAGGGACGCTGAGCACTTACCTCCAGGATGCCCCAAGGGCTCCAAACCAACATCCAGCCGGGAAGCTGGATAACCATTGCCACCACCCTCATCTAGAAGCAAGCACAGATGAGAAACGTTTCCATTGCATGTTGGGATCCACTTCTGCCTTCGTGAACTGCAGGCACCGGAAGGGGGGTCAGGTAACAACGTGGGAGCCAGGCGTAGGTGGGGACTGCCAAAGCTGCAGAGGGGCCTGGTGAGAAGCTGCAGAGGGGCTGGGGTAACCTCCTGGATAGGACCTGGCAGATTGCAAAGGAAGTGAGAGTGGCTTCAACAAGCCCCTTTGCAGCCTGCACTGGAAGCAGCCCAAGGGTGGAGCCACTAGCAAGTCCACCTTTGCAAGGCAAAGCCCCCCGGGGCACATCACTGAGCCCGACCCACTCTGTCTCTGCTCTTCTGCATCTCTGTGCATCAGCCACGGAAAGACTAAGTTACATTTCACACGGAAAGAAAATTAAAAGGTAAATGTTCATTCCTCCCACTGACATATCCGTGGGATCGCCCTGAGGCTCAAGGACAGGATCAGGCCAAGAAGTCAGGAAGCCATCAACCTTGACAGGACTTTATGTAAAATTGCACATGAATAAGCTCTTGCCACATTGTCAATGTTTTTTCCTTCAAGGAAACAGACATCAAGAACTTATCTCCAGGATGCCCCCAGGGCTCAAAATGAGCATCCAGCTGAGAGGCTGGACAAGCACTGCCACCACCCTCATCTAGAAGCAAGCACAGATGAGAAATGTTTCCATTGCACGTTGGGATCCACTTCCGTAACTGCCGGCACCGGGCTGGGGGTCAGTTACCACCGTGGGAGCCAGGCGTAGGTGGGGACTGCCAAAGGTGCAGAGGGGCCTGGTGACCTCTCGGCGGGCTCCTTGCAGCTCTCCAAACACTCCTTCCAGGCCATGTGCAACACCCCTCGAGGAGCGGAGGGACCAACATAGGGCCCCTCGCGGGGGAAAAACCATCATCCACGCTTCTCGGGGAGAAGAGCCCGCTGGCCCGTGAAAGGCTGCACCAGCGCCGCCCGCTTACCTGCTCCCCGCGCTCGCCACGGAGCAGCCTGGGCAGCCCTGGCATGCAGGGCCACCAGGAGGAGGAGGAGGAGGAGGAGGCGGCGGGCGGGGGCCATGGCCCCTTGCGCTCGCACCATGCTGCTGCTGCTGCTGCTGCTGGGGGCCCCGCGGGCCGCGCCGGCGGGCCCCGCGG